GAATAGGACCCCAATAAATGTCAGAGGTCATGACGTTAGTGATTTTATACTATTTGGGCTTGTTAATTTGTGCTTACCTGTATCTTTATGGTGTAGCGGTTAATCACTACTTTTACTTGCAACTAGCGCGTTCGATTCTCGGAAAATACAAACTATTCATACTGACAGACACCGTAGTTTAGCGGTTTAGGATATCGCATTACTTTCCGATGGTCGCAGGTTCGATTCCTGGGACGGTCCAAATATGTATTCATGATTATGATTGTTTATTATGTTATGGTTTTATATGAATATTAGTATATATGTACAAAAGAAAATGCGTATGTATTTATATCAGTTGTCTAGTACACATAACACATGCTCTGCTTAGCTTGGTACTAAATGATGTATTTATTTGAAAATACATAAATTATATATATAGAAAACATGCAGAGCGATCGTACCGTGCGAGGAATCGATCTCGCGACCATCGGAAGTAAAGCGGTGTGCTAAACCGCTAAACCACTGCGGCCGTCTTTATTGTTATCATGTGACCATCATCAATAGATGGCGATCCGTTATAATTTACATGCGTGCAAAGTAGCGGGACATTCTAGTTGTAAATGATTAGAGTTATGTACTCCAGCATATAACTTTAGTAAATATTTGTGTGTAATTATATCGCGTAGTTTACATTAAATGTTTCTTTTATTTAATTCTAGCTACCCGTTTATATATACACTAGCTTTTGCCCGCGGCTTCGCTCGCGTCAATTGATCCCCTTAGGGGTGGAATTTATCAAAATCCTTTATTAGGGGATGCCTACGTCATAGTAGTATAATGCATGCAAAGTCTCAGCCCGATCGGTTTAAAATTGACAAAGTTTCATGCAAACTTTCATCCCCTATTTTATCCCTTCGGGGGTAGAATTAATCAAAATTCTTTCTTAGCGGATGCCTACGTCATAACATCTACCTGCATGCCAAATTTCAGTCCGATCCGTCCAGTGGTTTGGGCGGTGCGATGATAGATCACTATGTCAGTCACCTTTGAGTTATATATATTTATATGAACATATAATAAATAATAATAATAATAATCAATAATAATAATAATAAAGACATTTAATTAATAAAGCATTACAGTATTCTTAGATGCTATCTATCTTATATACTATACAACTTAAAAGCTAAAAGCTAAAACATACTAGTAACGCTGAATGTGACTCCCATAAACTCCATATAAACCTTTCTCTTCAATCACTCTGTCTATCGCTAAAAACTGCGTAGTTTTAAATATCTAATCCAAATTTAAGCGAACTCTGCGGAAGCGACTTCATATTATACTATGCAAAGATATTTATTCGCTTTATTTGTTTGAATATTATTTAATAATAATAATAATAATCTTAAATACATGTGCAATAGTCCGTCGCTTCCCAAATGCCACAGAATGAACCATCCAGCAAAATAAAGTAACGAGAGACGTGGCATGTCCCGTCCTCGGTACTAGTCACCAGCATAAGCTGTGAAAAGAGAATAATACTAATAAATTTTTGCAGGAATAATAATAATAACTCTAGTCACACCAGTCGTACAATGAGTACACAACTATACACACGCGCTCATATGCACGCACACACGCAGACACATATACAAACAGCACTTACTTGGTTTCGGCCCGTAAGTGTAAAAAAAACCAGCAAAAGCTGAGAGAAAATAAATAATAATAACTTACAAAAAGTAACAGTAGTACCTACCAATCGTCCTCTCAACTACAGGTGTCATACCGAAACAGATGCATCAGTCAATAAATACCCTGAACTTGCCCTCTAATATATACCGCCAACTGCAGAAGGATGTAGTTCTAAACACATGCCGCACTGTCAGAAAATTTCTACAAACAAATTAGGACAACATTTATATTATAGCACAGATAACGTAATATTACATATATAGTATATATAGTACCTAACCTAACAATAGAACATTGTTATGTACTTGGCTTAGGCCCGTACATACCACCCTTCGATGGGAACGATGCCGGTGGTCTTGGTAAATGCTTGCGTATCCCATGGCCACGGCGATTATGTCGAGGAGGAACAGTCGTCAGGTTTTTAGCAGGCAGGAGTCCGGCAGTATCCATTCGTCCCTAAGCGGATGGTTCTCCATGATGGATTTTCCTGACGTATAAAAAAAATTAAAAAAAGGCCAGTACATACCAAGATTCGAAAGTCGAGATAAAAGGAAAAAAAAAAAGAAAAAAATAATAATAAAATTCTTAACTTCATCAACAATATCTTCACCCAACACAACCTCTGTCACACTTGACTAAGGCCCGTGTAGGTGAGTATTACCTTCTTTTAAATATATAAAATAAGAAAAAAAAAAAGAAAAAATAATAATAAAATTCTTAACTTCATCAACAATATCTTCACCCAGCACAACCTCTCCCACACTTGGCTAAGGCCCGTGTAGGTGAGTATTACCTTCTTTTAAATATATAAAAGAAGAGAAAAAAAAGAAAAAAAAAAAAAGAAAATTCTTAACTTCATCAACAATATCTTCACCCAGCACAACCTCTCCCACACTTGGCTAAGGCCCGTGTAGGTGAGTATTACCTTCTTTTAAATGTATAAAAAAAGAGAAAAAAAAAAAAAAATAATAAAATTCTTAAAAACAATATCTTCATAATAAATATATAAAAGAAGAGAAAAAAAAAAGAAAAAAATAATAATAAAATTCTTAACTTCATCAACAATATCTTCACCCAACACAACCTCTGTCACACTTGACTAAGGCCCGTGTAGGTGAGTATTGCCTTCTTTTAAATGTATAAAAGAAGAGAAAAAAAAGAAAAAATAATAATAAAATTCTTAACTTCATCAACAATATCTTCACCCAACACAACCTCTGTCACACTTGACTAAGGCCCGTGTAGGTGAGTATTGCCTTCTTTTAAATGTATAAAAGAAGAGAAAAAAAAGAAAAAATAATAATAAAATTCTTAACTTCTTTTAAATATATAAAAGAAGAAAAAAAAAAAGAAAAAATAATAATAAAATTCTTAACTTCATCAACAATATCTTCACCCAACACAACCTCTGTCACACTTGACTAAGGCCCGTGTAGGTGAGTATTGCCTTCTTTTAAATATATAAAAGAAGAGAAAAAAAAGAAAAAATAATAATAAAATTCTTAACTTCATCAACAATATCTTCACCCAACACAACCTCTGTCACACTTGACTAAGGCCCGTGTAGGTGAGTATTACCTTCTTTTAAATATATAAAAGAAGAAAAAAAAAAAGAAAAAATAATAATAAAATTCTTAACTTCATCAACAATATCTTCACCCAGCACAACCTCTCCCACACTTGGCTAAGGCCCGTGTAGGTGAGTATTACCTTCTTTTAAATATATAAAAGAAGAAAAAAAAAAAGAAAAAATAATAATAAAATTCTTAACTTCATCAACAATATCTTCACCCAGCACAACCTCTCCCACACTTGGCTAAGGCCCGTGTAGGTGAGTATTACCTTCTTTTAAATGTATAAAAAAAGAGAAAAAAAAAGAAAAGTAATAATAATAATCAAACTCTTAACTTCATCAACAATATCTTCACCCAGCACAACCTCTCCCACACTTGGCTAAGGCCCGTGTAGGTGAGTATTACCTTCTTTTAAATATATAAAAGAAGAGAAAAAAAAGAAAAAAAAAAAAAGAAATTCTTAACTTCATCAACAATATCTTCACCCAGCACAACCTCTCCCACACTTGACTAACGCCCGTGTAGGTGAGTATTACCTTCTTTTAAATCCATAAAAGAAGAGAAAAAAAGAAGAAATATAATAATAATAATAAAAATATACATTGAACTACAGAAATCCACTGTATTAGATACGTGTTCAATAGTTAGGAAATTTTTAGACAGTCCTGTAAACAATATTTAAAAATACAATTGTATGAATATGTGACTCGGTGATATACGCGCGTCCTTATGATCACTATAAAATAACCGATATATTTATATTGTGAAACTGTGGAAATAATAGTAATAATTGTACGGAAATTTCTGTCGTCTTCACTTTCATCATCCTCACATAACCTTTAAACTCATCCACGCTTGGCTAAGGCCCACGTATTTGAATACATTCCCCCTGTAAAAAGGGAGATCTATAAAACATATATAATAATAATAATAATGCCTGGAGAATTAACACAGCGCCGTCTAGTCTCACAGTAAGCAGAGCTTGTTATGGGTACTAGATAACTGATATAAATATTTAGATATTTTTCTTTCTAAATACATACATACATAGAAAACAACCAGATCGATGTAAACAATTATACTCATGACATACAAGTGTTTGCACCGTGCGAGGAATCGAACCCGCGACCATTGGTAGGAAAAGCGGTGAGCTAAACCGCTAGACCGCCGTGTCCGTATATGCTGTTCCAATATATTACTCTATCATCTTTCATTACTTCGAGATTACTTAATAGATTATGTTCTAGAAAAGCTATGCGCTTTAAAGAGAATTTCGTACGTCCCTAACTACCTTATTAAGGCTTATATTTAAAAGCGTACACAAATTTTATTGTATATACAAATTTTCCCTAAATATACGTAAGTGGGTAGATTCTTATTTCGGATATTCAGAACATTCTGTCTGTGAAGATAAAATAATATAATACACAACGTAATTACCTACCTCTCTGTAAACATAACAGCTACGCATACTCATCCATCCAGCTATATAAATAAAAAAAATATGATCTGATAATGTGTAAGTATCCAAGTCCAAGAATAAAGAGTAATACTTTTTGAAATAAGAATATAATTAATTAAAATTTGAAAAAGGAATACACGGCATTCGTATTTCGAACGCGTCGTAGCGCAACCCTCATCACGCTACGAGGTTCACGCAGGCTCTACCCGGGCCGGGCGTAGTGAGCCCCCTCCACCCCTTCCCCCCGCGCAGCCTCCCCGCATCTAGCTAGCTCAAACAGCCCTCAGCGTTGGTACAGGGAGGACGTGCGTCTCGCCGCGCTCGCACACACCTGTGGCATCGCGTAGACAGAGACAGATATACGTGCGTAGTGTTCTCGTTTCGCTCGCGTCGTGCGTTCGATTTTTGTTTTTGTTTGCGAATTTTGGATCACAGTGGCAGTTGAAGTGTTGTGTCAGTGAATGGTGTGTATATAATATTTTTTTTATGAATGAAACGGTGCTCAACCGGTCGACTGCCGGATGGGTTAAATTAAAACCTGTCTCGCTAAATCTCCGATTTCCGCCAATACGGGTTTGCTGTGGGAGCTTTTATAATACAGCCTTAACCACTGATCTCTTTTTGTGGGAATATCAAATTTGAACAGGTTTTATTTATTTTATTTTTATCATAGATTATAGTTATCTGGTAATTATTTGTTTGAATCTTGATACTGATGACAAATGCGTATCTACCTATCTGACGAATTGTGGGAAATTTTCAAACGAATTTCGTTTACGAATTTCTTAGTAGTTTTTTCTCGTTATATCTCTGTGTGATGTAATTATTATCATTTCATGACACTATCAACATAATCTACTAAAACGTTATAGTATACAGTATTCAAATTTAATACGCTTTAAAAACGAATTAAAAATTTGCATATTGAAATGAAATCAAATTAAATTTACTGTAAGTATTTCAATGAAACTAATTAAAATTCGTAAATTATTACAAAAATATTAATATTCAAATTTCTGAACGAAAGTAGGACTTGAAATTGTCATAAAAAAGTCTTGTATTTGATTTAAATAAAATACTTATATTGTACATAGACTGAATTACTTATTCTAAAACCACAAAAAAATCCTGTAAATAGGACATATAGGTAATTATAAAAATTATTATAAAACTACAGACATTAAAATTTCCGTACAAAACTAGGACTTGAAATTGTTATAAAAAAGTATTGCATTTGATTTCAAAGGAAAAAAATTGTGCAAAGATTAAGTTACTTATTGTAAAACCACAAAAAAGTCCTATAGGACATGTAGGTAATTATAAAAAACAAAGTATTAAAAAATATATAATATAAGTACTATGCCGAGACTAAGTTATTACGATTCTAATTCTATATTATCTAATACCAGTTAAACAGTCTTGTAGGTACATAATTAAAAAAAAAAGAAGTTTAGTCACTCGTTTTAAAAACAGAACCAATAAAGTAATTCTACGAAAGACTTAAAAGTAGACTAGGCTGTACGGTCTAAGGATCTTTGCCTGTTCCATCATTGAAAAAGAGATGGACGAATATGGAAATAAAAAGTAATTCTACGGAGTATGTAGGTAAAAACGTAACAAAATTTTGCATTGTTTTACAATAAACATTCTCATTTGATTAAATACAGCAGAATATGATTTTGATTTGATTTAGTTTTTTAGGTTAGTTTCAAAATGGCTGCAATTACAGTAGGATTTCTTATTTTTTTGTTTTGTTTATCTTTTAAAGGTAAGGCAAAGGAAATTGTGTCTATACAGCCAGTTCAATGTTTTTTAAATAACACTAAGCGTATGTTATTTGAAGATAATGTAGCTTTTCTAGAATTGTTTTCTTTTTGTTTCTTATGTTTTAAATCTATCTATTACAAACAAGAAAATTAATCTTCCCCTTTTAAAATATTAATTTAGATGGTCGAATGATTATAATTTCAATAACAATAACCAGTAACTTTATTCATTATATACTTACTTTTACATTATTGTTCTTATAAACCAGAACTGGGATTTCCTTCTAAGTAGATATAATTAAAAACTTGTGTTAGGTGTCTTCTAGAGTTGTTATGATTAGAAGAAAAGAAAAAAAACTATGAATTCAGAGGTTTTAGTTCAATATAAACAACCAACATAAAAAACAGGTATATATAATTAAGCTCCATTTAGCATGTACATAGATAATTAAAAATAAACATATAATATATATTTTTTTAATACATATAGGCACTGAAATGCTTTCACTCAGCTTTATGGTATGTTTTATGTTAACCTGCCGTTAGTTGTCCGAGGCTGTTGGTAAATATAGTTGCTATATTGATCTTAATAATATTACAAACGCGAAAGTTTGTGAGTATGGATGTTTGTTACTCTCTCACGCAAAAACTACTGAACGGATTTTTATGAAACTACAGTAATATAGCTACATACATCAGAATAACATATAGGCTTAAAACATCAAGCTAGTAATATTATAACTGCGAACCTTTGTGAGTATGGATGTTTTTTACTTTTTCATGCAAAAACTGCTGAACTGATTTTGATGAAACTTTACAGTGATATAGCTTATACATAAGAATAACATATAGGCTATAAATATATAAGTCACGCTGGTTAAAGCTGTCATAGCTGGCTATTATATGCTTAAATCATTAAGTTGTACATTTTAATATGACGTAAATGCTCAATGAGAATCTCCTTATATGGTAGGTATTACGTTCTGAACTCGACCGAGGCATTCATAAAAGGGTCTTTTAGAGAAGTCAAGATTTTCAACCGGCGTGCACGCGTGGGTTTTCTATGGGAATTTTATTTGCGCAATTTTTTCCGCATTAGCGATTCTTTCTGCATATATTTATATGCGTATCGTTTAGATTATTTTTGCCCTATTTTTTTCGCAATGCTGTACTTGCACAGCTTCATATATTGCGGGAGAAATTGAGCGGAATTTTCCGAAAAATTCAGAATGCAAATATACTCCATTTGAGCAAGGTCTGCAAAATATAAAACAGAGAAGGCTATCATACTGAAATACAGTCTTAATATCCAAGATAATAGAGTTGATTTTACATTTTATTGCGGATCAGTATTCAAATATTGCAAATTTTAGCAACATATTTCTTGCCCATTGAATTCTTCTGAGTTATTTACTTTTTTCTTTCATTGTAGCCTGCAAATGATTAAGCGAACTTGTACTTAAAGAACAGTTGTCTTTAATCAAAAACCTTGAGTTTATTTATTTGTAAACCTAGCTCAGAAGCATCTCTCATTCTGTATATGCACGAAAACGCGTGAAAATTTGCATTTTTGAGATTATAACGTATTCGTTATTATATATATATTTGTGTGAATTATAATAATTTTGTTTATGAGAATGATGACGAATATCAAGAGCTGACTGTCATCAAACAAAGGGGGCAACTGTATAATGACGTATGTGGATTAAATTATACCTAACAGGAAAGTATATAACAGCTTATTGATAATGTTTGAATATATCATGGTGGGATATTAAAGCATACGAGTATAGGAGTTAAATATATGACTATAGTAGATACTTTGTGCGCATCGTATACGTTATTCGTTACCGACAGACGCGGCGGGAACGTTGTTTTACAATATGTATATATTCAAAATATTGATATAAACCTCAAAGCTTATTGACTTAACTGACTATGAAATCTAATAACGTATATATATGCTTGAGTGCATACTCTCCCACTTACTGCGGAAGTTGTTACACGTTAGAACAATTTTCAACCTTTTTCCAACGACTTTAAGGCTAAGAGTTACAGTTCTTCTCAAAGACTCCATTTTTCAATTTGATATCCTCCTGAATTCAGTGTGCTCTATGGCGATTTTGAAATGGGCATTCTCTGAAGGCAACTATAAAAACAAAGAACGGGAAAGGGTGCTGCTTATAGGGACTGGCCTACTCTGACTATAATATACTATGACTTTTATTTTATTTCTTGAGTAACTAGTATAGGTCCTTTGATAATAAATTCTTAAAAATATAATTATGAGCAACATTAATTTAAAATAGCAACATAGAAAAAATCTTGCTTTTTCTTCTTATGATGAATCTGCGTTCCGAATTAGTGTTAGAATCGAAAATATTACTGTTAAAATGTGTTTGTATTAAGCTTCTTTGAATAAAGATTATTTCGATTTCTAAGTTTGAAATCATTCTGTTACCACAGTAAAATGTGTCCTTTTATATATTTGTTCATGCCTTTTCTTTAGTGTGTTTTACGAATATATTCTATCTATCTAAAATAATTAAAAACAAATCAAATATATCAATACTTATCTGTATTCAAATTATTTAAAATTCGGATAATAGTAGTGTACAATTCAATATGAAACTATATTTGTAACTGGCAACCAACAGATATGTGCATTGCCATAAAAGTATAATAAAAAAAGAACAAAATGAAATTAACTCAGCTTAACGAGACATTGCATTTTTATTAAAAATAAAAACATATTAAACCAACAAACATTCTTTAAATCCTCGTTCAGGTGTTTACAAGTATCCTTACGATGATAGTTTACCTAATTAATTACCATTATTGAAAGACTCAAGGATACTGACTGAAGCACAAATATAGATGCAACTAAGTGACTCGAGTATTTTAATTACGTGATCGCTAATGCTACTAGACCACTTATCATGATTACAAAAGTTATTTGCAGATGGACACAACCTATTTTGCAAGTAACATCTGAAACTCTATTTTTTTAATTGTGTAATCTTTCAAAGCAATGTATATAGGAGGAAAGAAATTTAAGAGTCAAATAGTAAAATTTTGAGCGTAAATTAGGGTCGAAAGTGACATACAAAACACCCAATTTTAGTAATACCATTAATGACAATTTTCAGCATTGCACCCAGTTGTAGCGTATTTTAATCCATAACCATAATTTTGAGAATTTCCATTTAGAATTAACACCACTGCCCAATGATAAAGTAATGACAAATATTGAACACATAAACTTGAAATATGTAAAGGCCTTTGATGTTGCCTCATAAGGAAGGGATTTCTGAGTATTCCCACGGGAACTATGGGGATCAACCGGACAACGGACCCTGTATAAACAGTATTGTGGTGTCACTTACTAGAATTACTTAGAATATAAAAAATCTATATAAAATAGTAATAAAACACAGACTAACTAAAGTAATTTCAAAAATGGTACAGAGTAGAATTTAATGACGTATTATGTTGAGAAATAAAAGGTGTTGATAATGTGGTGAGATCAAAGGCAACAACCATAGACAAAATAAATTGATATTGTAGAAGATAAATAATAAAAGTGATGCATAATAAAAGCATAAGGCCAGGAGTAAAGGGTGATAGTGATCAGTGGAAGAATGAAAAAGGGAAACATATTGGATCGTTATAGCACAGAAAAGGTAGTGATAATGTAA